CTGGTCCGCGGGTTCTAGAGTCTATTTCTGACTTGGCTCGCGCGCTCCGCGGAGGGTCTGCAGCGCCCCTGCAGAGCAACCCAACTCCAGACTTCTTCCTGTGTCGGAGAGTTGTTGGAAATGTGCGAGACTCCACTTTGTGCCTTCCGCAGTGCTAAGGAAAAAGGCCTTCTTCCTTCCTCGGCAGGGCTCTTCCACGAACCACCCCACCTGCGCCCTGCCCACTTGGTGCTCAGTGTCCCGTCCTCAGCGCGGTCTCACACCACCCCGCACCCCATTTGCAGGGGTTGTCCGTCGCTAGCTTCGAGGGGAAAGACTGGGCATGGCGGCGCACGCCTGTAATCTGAGCACTTGGGAGGCTGAGGCAGGAGGATGGCAGCTCCTCCAGACCCACTTCTGTAGTCTCCAACTCTGTTTCTTCCACAGTTAACACCCACTTCACTAAACCCAGGGACACTTTGATTCCTCATGTTACCCAGTCTTTCTGCAAAGTTCCTCCTCCCTGCCTAAAACGACCTTCCCGTGGCTGAGTGACCTTCAGTCCCCTTTCCTGTTCTCCCAGTCTCCTTGACTTGCTCATCTGCCCTGCAGACCTCTAAGTAAGAGCTGTGAACGTCTCAGCGCTTCCTCTTATTCCGCAAAACTTCCCTGAGTGATTTAGTTGCTGCCAGCATTTCAATCAATAGGTTCCCAATTTACAACTCTGGTCCTGCTTTCCCTGAGCTCAGAACCTATTTAGTTTCCTATTTAGCTTCTTCACCTGAGTATGTGACAAAGCGCCTCAAAATCAGTGCACGCGAATGCCCCTTCTTTCTCTTCCTCTCCTGCGACACCCAGGTACCCGCATCTGTCCGTTGTCTCCAGATACTGCCTTCACCCCATGCACCCGACAACCTCCCTAAGTCTCTCTCCAGCTTGTCCACTTCCTTCAGTTTCAAATGTGACATACACAAATTGAGTATACCTAATTTGAAAACCAAAATTTGAAATACTCCAAAATCCAAAATGTTTTTGAGTGATCGGTTTTGGATTTTGGAGAATTTAGGACTTCGCATTTTTCACATGAGGATGGTCAACGATTAAAGTCTGTGAAATCTTCCCAAATCGGAAAAGCTTTGAAATAGGAGACACTTTCAGTCCCAATCCTTTCAATGTTCCTGTGCCTTCATCTTCATGCCTTGGTGGTAATATTTGCCCTGTGGACATTGGCAAACATTACAAATTCAGGCTTGAGTTGTTATCTTGCTGATTATCAGCATCCTTAAGAAAGTTTAACAATGTAGTCTAGATTTTAAAATATAACTCTGGTCTGGATACAAGGAAAACACTTAACAAATCAATAGCCTTTTTGTATAGGAACAACAGACTCTCTGAGAAAGAAATTAGGGAAACAATTCCTTTCACACTAGGACCCCCCCCCAAAGAAACATCTAGGAATCAATCCAGCAAAAGAAGTAAAAGTCCTCTGCTTTGAAAATTACAGCACTCTGAAAAAAGAGATCTAAGCGCATATTAGAAAAGGGAGAGACATCCTTTGTTCCTGGGTAGGAAGAACCAATGTAGTAAAAATGGCCATACTTCCAAAACTGCTATATAGATTCAATGTAATCCCTATTGAAATCCCAACAGAATATTTCACAGAACTAGAGAAAATAATCCAAAAATTCATTTGGAACAAGAAGAGACTCAGACTAGCAAAAGCAATTCTAGGCAACAAAGACAAGTCACGGAGTATCATAATCTCCAAGTTGAAACTATACTGCAAAGCCACTGTGATAAAACAGCATGGTACTGGCAAAGAAACAGACCCATGGATCAATGGAATAGATTAGAAGATGAAAAAACAACTCCAGACATACTAAGCCACGTTATCTCTGACAAAGGAGCCAAACACCCTCACTGGAGATTAATAAATGGTGCTGGAAAAGCTGGGCTTCAATTTGCCAAAGATTAAAGTTAGTTCTATGTCTTTCACCATGCACTAAACTAAAATTCAAATGGATTAAAGATCTAAATATTAAAACAGAAACACTAAACCTGCTGGAAGATAGGTTAGGTAGAACTCTTGAAGACATTGGTGCAGGAAAAGACTTTATGAACAATACCTCAGTTGCATGGGAACTAGCACAAAGAATCAATAACTGGGATGTTGTCTTATTAAAAAGTTTCTGGGCAGGGATTTAGCTCAGTGGTTCCACCACCTGCCTCCCAAGCTCAAGTTCCTGAGGTTGATTCCCAGTACTCAGTAAAGAAGAAGAAGTTTCTTCACAGCAAGTGAAACCACCAACAGAGTGAAAAGAAAACCTACAATGTGGGAAAAAATTTACCAGCTGTTCCTTAGACAAAGAACTACCATCTAGAATATATAAAGAACTTTAAAAAATCAGAGACCCCAATTTAAAGACCCATTCAAAAAATGGGCATCTGAAATGAGCAGATATTTCTCAGACAAAGGAGTAGAAGGAGAAAATAAAAATATGAAAAAATGTTCAATATCACTGGTCATTTGTGTGATACATATAAAAACAACACTGTGATTCCACATCACCCCAGAAGGAATGGCTGCTATCAAAAAAGCAACCAACAACAAATGCTGGCAGGGTTGTGGGGGAAAGGGAACCCTTCTCCACTGTGGGTGGGAGTGCAGACTGGTGCAACCACTGTGGAAATCAGTGTGGAGATTCCTCAAAGAACTGGGATTGGAGGCCACATTTGACCCAGCTCTTCCCCTTCTTGGCATCTTCCCAAAAGAATTAAAAGCATCACACCACAGTAATCTATGCACACCCATGTTTATAGTGGCACAGTTTGTAATAGCTAAATTTTGGAAACAGCCCAAATGCCCATCAACTGGTGATTGAATAAAGAAGATGTGTGTTTTTAAAAAATATAAAATGGAGTACTACTTATCCATAAAGAATAAACTACAGACAGTTATCGCTAAATGGACGCACATTGAGGTGAAATAAATAGGACACACATGTGTAAATACTGAATAGTTTCTCTGGTATGAGAAACTGCTAGAGTAAATGAGGACCAAAATGTATAATAGACAATGAAAAATAGGAAGAAAAAGTCCAAAGAGTCAGGGGAAGTAGGGAGAAGGGGTGGGGGAAAGGAAAGAAGGGAAGGAACAAATATGAGAAAAGAAGGAAAATAGGAACAGAAGTTTTTATAAATAGGGAAGGAAGGGAAATGGGGGAAAAAGAAGAACCAAGACATATCATGTACAGGCACAGATTCTCGATGATGAATGTGATCATAATGTGTTCCTAAAATGTACCAGAAAACTTAGTGGGAAAAAAATTGTTCTTGGTGCTGAAAGTGAGAGTTCAATTTCATTTGAACGAAGGTGAGAAATAGTTTAACAAGTCACGTGTAGCAGCTTTAATGATGCTAAGTTTACTGAAAAGCAGTGGACTAGAATGCAGTTCCATCTGTTAAATCATGGCTGAGTTGCAAGCATTGGTTAGAGTCAGATACAAGTCTTTGACAAAAATCAACAGAATTATTCTGTGAGAATGAGAAACAGGGAATATATGGTATGGTATTCTTTTATTAGCATTCGTGAACTGTTGTTGTACGTTGTATCTGTAACATTTGTACCTTACATAGGGATGCATATATAGGTATACATCTTTATTTTCTGCAGAAAACCGGTTGTTAAGCATTTACCAGTACACTAGCGACTGACAGAGAACTGCCAGTGCATAGTGAAAATAAAAGCAGACAACGTTTTAGCCAGATTTATTATCTTTCAATTCTCTGTAGACGGCGCACCCTGGATTCCTCTCCCGAGGATGGTTTGCTCCACTGCAGCTGCTCTTGGCAGGCCTCCACTTCACATCGCTCCCGGCTAAGTTCCACATCCTTCATTACCCTCAGCCTACGGCGGAGGGAGGAAGCGCAGGGGCCGGGGAGACACAGCCAGTGCGCCACACCGGGAAGCCAAGATTGGACAAACTACCCAGGGAGTCAGCCAGAGCTTTAAAGAACTCCCGAATGCCTTGTAAGGTTGATAATTTAGACTGGAAAGAACCGGAACAGAGAAAGCTGTAATTTGATCTTGTCCCCCCAACCTCCTCCCCTTGGGACCAAATGTCAAAAGCATTTGGAGGGACATGAGCCATTTAGCCTCTTGTGGGTTAACTCCTTCCAGCTGGTTTGCTTGAAGATTTGGAGGGGGATGGGTCGAAAAGTTTCAGCATCTGGGACGTCTCCGTGCTCTGGCAGGCACATTGCAGTTTGCGTGAATAGAGCTTTGGAGTCACGCAGGGCAGCTCTCCTGGGTGTGCACGGTGGGGAGAGTGTAAGGGACTCTCAGGTTCCCCAGTTCCACCAAGGAACAGAAGGTGCCCGGGGTAGCAGCAGCTCTCACAGGCCGCCCCTCAGAGACTGAAGCGCGGCAGCCAGGCGTGGAACCCCCATACCTGTCCTCAGGAAATACAATCCGGAAAGGGAGACAGAACTCGTAACTCGTATCTCGCAAGCCCAAATAAAACTAAATGACGAATTCCGTAAGGAGAGTGCTGGAGGAAAAAATGCAGATAACAGAGGGGTCTTTTTCCCTTCCCACAGGTATGACATAGGAAGATGTAAGATTGGAGTTCATCTGGGTTAACTGTGTTATAAGCTGTGCCAGCTCCCACTAACTGCCCAGTAGAGCTTTCCTTCTCACTCACGTCTCAGACTTGTATCCTGCTCCTTGCAGTCATTCAGGGATCCACGTACCACCTGTGCTGTGGCTCTAGCCTTCCATCTTTAACTTGTGGCCCCCCAGTTCTTTGGTATTATCCAACAGGGAAGGGGAGAAGAGTGTGAATAAACTGGAAGGTAGGGATACACATTTCCACTCCAATGGAGAAAACCCACTTGGCCATCTAGATGCAAGAGGGCTGCCAAGCATAATTAAGTTGTGTGCCCAGAAAGAGAAAATGAATGTGGTTTCAGGGGCACATGATTGTCAACAGAAGAAGGCCTGTGGGACCAGCATCCCTACCGAGGAAGGGGATGAGCTCTGTGGCTGTGTTTGGGCAAAGCAGATTGCTGGCAGAGTTCATGAGAGGGATCAGGCTGGAGAGGTTGGGTGTTTCTAAACTTTGAAAGGTTGGAATAAGACGGTTAAGACATTTGGACTTTGTTCTACAGGCAGTAAGAGGTCCCTCAAATTTTTCATGAGGGAGTGAGTTAATCAAGACACATAAAGGAGATTAACCAACAGAGACTAAGCAGATGAGACTGGTAAGGCCAAGGTTGGGGTACCCGATTCCACCGCCCATGAGAAGAGTTTATCCTGGAAAAGATGAGAATGAAACAAATGTTTAGAAGAATTGGTACCCAGAGACCAGGTAACATGAGAGATCACAAAGACTCCCTTGAAATCTGAGGGAAAACTGCACTTTCTAAAAACTCCCTCTTTGAGTAACTAATCCAGTCCCAAGAGAAAGGCACTAATCCCTCTCAATGACCTATTCTCCCCCTACACCTCCTGGCACCTTCTCAGTGAGAATCAGATTTTAACCTAGCAGGGACAGCCAAATTCAAACCATAGTGCCCTCATTTCCTTCCAACATATTTCTCCCTTTTTTATTAACCTACCTTAAATAGCTTCTCTCTTTTGTTAGATAAAGGAGCCTTGACTAAGATAAATGTGGTTAGAATGAACGTTTAAGAATCTTATCTGTACCAGGCAAGCAAAAGCACCTGTGGGATGAATTTTACCTCCAGCCCCTTCCTCTTGCTCTATTTCTAATCTTACCTGTCTGAGCAGAATCAGAGAAGCGGAGTAGTGGTCTCCGCCTTAGCTCATGAGCCCTGTGCTTGATGCCAGGAGAGCAGGAAGGATTCCAGGGCTCAGCAGGTCATAGAGAGGGAAAAGTGTGCCATGGGCTAGAAGATTCTAGATGCAATAAAGTTCTTAAAAAGTTAAACATAAGTTTGCCACATGACCCACCAATTCTATTCCTAGACATATAGCCCAAATCATTGAAAGTGGGTATTTGCACATAAATATTTATGGCAAGACTGTTACCGATTGCCAAAAGGAAGAAACAACTCAAATGTCCATTGACAGAGAATGGTTAGACAACATATAGTATCGCCATACAGTGAACGTTATTCAGTTAAAAAAGGGAAGGAACCTCAGGGGTGTCCTATTAAGAGGACAATCACAAAGAGGCACACTGTGCATACTCATATTTGTATGAAATATCCAGTAGAGACAAATACATAGACAAAGAAAGGTGATTGGTTATGGGGGTGGGGGTGGGGATAGTATGGGGAGTGATGACCTCATAGACAAAGGCTTCCCTTTATGACATTGAATATATTTTGGACCTAGATAGAGGAGGTGGTTGCGTGATGTTGGGAATGTGCCAGTTGCAACTGGATTATGTACTTTAAAATGGTTAAAGGGCTGAATTGTGTTATGTGAACTTTCCCTCCCATTTTAAAAAATGCAGTGGAGAAGGGGAAATGATAGGGTGAGGTCAGGTCCAGGAACAATAGGGTGGGGCTGTTCACGTGACAAGTAGGACCGAGACGGAGACCCAACTCCGCTTGACAAATAATGAGGATTGAACTGTGTCCCTCAAATGCTGAACTCCTGATCCTCAAAATGGTCTGAGGCTTTAGGTGGGAATTAAGGTTAAATGAGATCATAGGGGTGACACCCTTCTGTCTCATAGGTTTAGTGTTATAGGAAGAACACCAAGAAGCTTGCATTCTCCTCCTTTCAATGTCTCTCCCTCTCCTCACCTAGGAACTGCCACGTAAAGACACAGCAAGCAAGTGGCCAGGCAGAACCAGGGCCCTCACCAAGAACTGAGCCAGAGCCTTGAGCTTGGACTTCAGAACTGTGAAAGATAAATTGCTATTGTTTAACCTACCCAGCCTATGGGACTCTGTTATGGGAGCCCTAGCTGATGAATATAAGGGCTGTAGGAATCGAGGAGTAGAAGAGTTTTTAAGGTCATGGAGCACTAAAGTCCCACACATTTTGAGTGACAGGGATAGGGCTGGAACCCATCAGTGCCTGGCCCCAAATCTCCTCACAGAACCAGGCTGCAGAACTCCAAGTGTTAGGTATGGACTGCAGATGCCCCGGTTATGAGGAGTTCTGGCAGACAAAAGAAAAAAATTGCTGGGGATTTAGCTGCACTGCCTGCCTTGCAAGCAAAGGGTCCCAAGTTCGATCCTGATACAAAAACACAAAAACAAAAAACAAAGAAAAAATGCCAGTGATTCTCTTCTCCTAGGAAGGAAGTCAGAAGATGTGGCGATTGCTCCATGGGGTTTGAGCAGATATTAATGACTCAGATGAAATGAAGCAGCTGAAAGGAAGGAGATTTGAGCTGGGAAAAGTCAGTCGTCATGAGGTGAAGAGTGGAGAAAGGCATTGTCCACAGAGAGAGCAGTGCATGAATTCATTTGTTCTCAACAATCCCTGTTTTGTCTGTGCTTCCTGGCCGTTAACATGGGCATCTAGCTCTCCTTTTGAGCTCCCAATGTGTTCATCTATGTAATTCCTAGGTGTTTGCTTTTCCTAGAATAAAGACTCCTCTCACTTACTATTTTATCTAGTTCAGCCTGTTACCAACTCCCTGAGGTGGCATCCGTGCTTTAAACATCAACTGTGATGGCCAAAGCAAAGTACCACCAAAGATGGGAACTTTAAGGCAAATAGGACAGAGGCCTGTGACAAGGGGCTAGGGAAGTGTTTGTGGGCAGGCAGGACCTTCTCGCATGCCAGGCAATCATGGTCTTTACTCTTGGGCATCACAGTGTGCAACTTCCAGGTACCCAGATATTGCTCATGCTAACTCTTTTCCTTCTTCTCGTTTGCAGCATTATGTTTTGTGTGTGTGTGTGCACATGTGTTGCCCTTTCTACACTCTTCAGTAAAAGGTAATAAGCTCAACCATCTTTTCCTACAAATAAACTCTGCAATTTTGGCTTCACTTGTGACAAATTGCATTTCCTTGGTATTTAAAGCAGGTGTGTTCTTTAATGGCTCACCTTTATTTAAAAATTTTAAGCTCAAATTAAACATCTAGTTTAAAGACTCAAAAATGATAATGCACTTGCCTATATGCAATGGGATTCACCTCAATGGTGGGCTAATTATTTATTTACCTACCTCTCATTATTTCAACAAAAACATCTCCTGAATGTCAGGAGTTGCTGTCGTGCTTGCTGGCTTTAGAGGTGAATGCTTCACACCTTAAGGCAAATAACAGATTTTTAACTGATGGAAGGGTAGAAGACAGGAAATCCAGAAGAAGGATTCTGGCCAGGGAATATGGACTGATTGTCAGTTCGGCACAAGCACAGTTTGAAAACCCTGTGAGACATCACGGAGATATAAAAGGTTTGGCTAATTCTGGTTGAGAGCTCAGGAGGGAAGTCTGGGTTCCTGCTGCAAATTGGAGAGCACTGGAAGACAAGGATAGCTGCTATCCTTTGTGAACTTAGTCTGTGGAGGGTTTGTGCAGTGGAACACAGGTTTCCTGGACCTCAGAGCAGTGTCCTGGACACCACCTGTGTTAGTGAGCTTCTCATGGCTGAGATACAACATCCAACAACAACACCTAAATGGCAGCGAGGTTTCATTTGCTCATGGCTGTAGTCCATGACCAAGTGGCTCCAAACAAAAGACATCATGGTGGAAGGGAAGAGTGGAGCAAAGCTGCTTAGTTTCCAGCACCTGGGAAGCAGAGCAGGGGAAGGGTGCTACAGAAGGAGGGTGAAGAATGAGACACGGATCCCAAGGTCACGTCTCCATGACCCACCCAGGCATGAGGAGAAGTGTGCTCCAGTTTGCGCCATCTAGGGTGGATCCCAAAGCCAAGCAAGGTGAAACTCCACCCTACTCCCACCCCAGCAATACCTTTAAATTCAGTGACTTGCCAGTAGGACACACAGAAGTAAACAGAACTGCTGCGCTTAGTTGAGCACGGCCATGGGTGCACATAAAAATCGGCACAGAACACAGTACACAGGGCAAGTGACAGAAGGTACCAGGCATAAATATTCAATTGTCCTCTCTGGGTAGAATTACATGGACAAGCACCTGATTCTCCAAGCAATGGTGTGGCCACACTCATGAAGTATTGCCAGCCAGGGAAGCTCCCCCAAGCCTTGGTGTCTGAGGTTGGTGTAAAAGATTGTGCATGGAGACAAGTCAGATGCCCATCTTACCATCCTGATTTTCCAGTCCCTGCAGAGGTCCAGCTGATACAGCCTGAGGCACCCAGCCATAAATGGCATCAGTATAATCCCTGGCATGAACCAAAACCCCAGGAAAACAAAGATGCTCTTGTTAGGATATTCCATAGGCCAAGCAAGATGGTACCCCCAGGAACGCAGAAGGACCAAATCCTTCTTTGGAATGTCTAATTAATCACTTACTACACAGGATGCCAGCATTTGAGGGTCAGCGAGAAAAAAACTCCACAATAGAGAGTGATATTCTCTGAAAATTGAGCTTAATCTAAGAAAAGAAGTGACTGTGGAATCCAAGAGCATAGGGTTTTAGAGAAGGAGGGATAGGGGTGCCAAACTGATCAGTAGGACGGGTGCTTAGGAATGTCTGTCAAGGTCATCTGCCAATAGGTTATTGCTGACCTTGGACAGTTTAACAGGTCTTTCAGGATCAAGAGAAAAGCAGATGGCCTGGATTGAGGAATATAGGATCAGTATCTCAGTCTATTTGGATTACTGTAACAAAGTATCACAAACTGGGTTTCTTGAAAACAATAGAAATTTACTTCTCACAGTTCTGGAGTCTGAGGAGTTTAAAAGTAAGGTGCTGGTGGATCAGGGTCTGGTGTGCATTTCTTTCTTGATTTATTGATGGTGCCTTTCCACTGTGTCCTCACATGGAATAAGGGGCAAGGGACTTCCTCTCAGGGGCCTCTTGGACAGAGGTATTATTATTAAGGAAAATAAAAAAAAAGAGAGAAAGAAACAACATCCTAGCTAAAATGGGCTTCCCCACAATAGGAACTGATAAGAAAGGCAAGAGCCGGCTGCCTAGGGCTGCTCCTTCCCAGGCCCCTGGGACCCTTGCCCTGTTTTTATGCTGCCATCCTTGCTGGGATTGCTCCTGCTGTTTCCATCCGCTCGTGGTGTAACAAAGCTCTCTCAACTCCTGGCATCTTCATTATAATGATGCCATTTTGAAGTGGAAGGGCTCTTTTTATGATGTCTCATTTTTAGGAGGAAGAAAACCTTTCCTGGCAATTGCCTAGCCCCATGTCCAGTCCTAAATCAATTACTGGCAAGAGGAGGAGATCCACATTATTAGCTCGGACCACTGAATGCTCAGAGGTGATGTAGCCTTCCTTTCCTGAGTCATGTAGGCTGGGTGGTTGGATGGCCAGCAAGTGAGAGATTCCACTGGGAGGAAAGTATGTTGGATGACAAACCATCAGCGTGTTTGCTGGAGACACTTAGGAGAAGATAGATCAAATGAGAATTTTATTTTTATTACACGACATTTGTTCGCTGACATGTAAAAGCCAGGGGAAAGAAGGGGGGAAGGAAGGGGAAAGAGAAGTGGAGAGAAACAGTGAAAAAGAGAAAGGATAAAGGAGAAAAACAAATTGTGCATGGGTTGATGTTTATGAAGAACCAAGAAGAAAAGTCAATTCATAATACAGGTTGGAATATGTATTTTTGTTCTCCTTGAGCTAAAGAAAGTTTAATGATATTACCTGTTACAAGCCTCTCACTGATGCATTGTCTTATATTTTTGAACGTTACATTTTCTACCTGAACCTAAGTTTAACAAGTTTGTCATTTACTCTGTTTTTACTTTAGCTACCTATTTTCTTTCACTTCTTCCAAATTTTATTCTTCTGCAGAGCCCCATGATCTCTTCTATTTTTAGAATTCTCCAATTTTATGAGAGCTGCTGAGATCATTTGTAGGTTAATCAATATTTACCAAGTTTAGGATTTAAAAAAATATAAATATTGGGCCTCACAAGCGCAAGGTCCTGAGTTCAATCCCCAGTTTAGCTACCTATTTTCTTTCACTTCTTCCAAATTTTATTCTTCTGCAGAGCCCCATGATCTCTTCTATTTTTAGAATTCTCCAATTTTATGAGAGCTGCTGAGATCATTTGTAGGTTAATCAATATTTACCAAGTTTAGGATTTAAAAAAATATAAATATTGGGCCTCACAAGCGCAAGGTCCTGAGTTCAATCCCCAGTGTAATAAATTTTCATGTTGAATATGTATTTTCAACACTAGGTGTATAATAAAAAATTAAGGAAACAAGCTGTGTAGCCTATTTAGTTATATTTAAATCAAACCTTTAAGATCTCAAATAACTACAGAAGACAGTATGATTGCCAAAGAAGGAAGAAAAAAAGTAGCATTTCCATGGTGCTTACTCATTATATTTGCAGTATTTAACAAACTAATGTATTATTTTTTATTGTTATATGAGAACTGTTACAAGCTTCATATATTAATGCATTTGGTTCCTAAATAACTTTGAAAAATAGATCTATGAGCTGTCACCCCTCACTTTGTAGATGCATATACTGAAGCACAGAGATCTTAAGGAATAGCTGGGACACAGTAGACTAATGTTCAAGGCCAGGTGGGCTGGCCTGAGAAGGAAGTTAACCAGTTAACTCTAAGCATGGCCTGGAGTGCACATCTATGGTGAGCCATCATGGTGAGCCTTGACATAGGCCTAGCCATGATTGCACTTTGAGTCACCTCGCCGGCACGGACGTGCTGTCACCCATACCAACGGGCAAGTTCAGCTGGTAGCAGATGTAACCCATAATGGTTGTTATTGTTTCCCCCTGGAATGTGTGGGCGGTACTCTCGCTCCCATGCAGCTCTCACTCCCATGCAGCTGAAGAGTATAAATGTTTACACTTTTGGTTTCGGTTTTAGCCTATATATACCCCACCCTGAAAAATAAACAGGTCCTTGCTACGAAGAGAGCATGAGCCTGGAACTAAGTTCGTGAAACTGCTCTCCTGTTGTTCTTCCCTCGGGTTTGGGACCTGCTGGCAGGATTCTGACGTTGCGGCTCGCGACAAGTGGCGCCCGAACAGGGGCCTGAGTAAGAGGGACATCGAGGAGAGCGCCCTGCGATCCAAGGCACTACAACAAGAACCGAGACTGATCCCTGCGGCTCCTGCTGGTGAGAGACAGGGGACGATAGTCCTGATCACGGCAGTAGAGGGAAATGTTGTAGAAGAGGGTGCCACTGATGAGAGACGGGGCGATAGTCCTGATCGCTGCAATAAAAAAGGAATGGGCTGCTGGTGAGAGACAGGGGACGTTAGTCCTGATCACAGCAGTAGAAGTAAGGGCCACTGGTGAGAGACAGGGGACGTTAGTCCTGATCACGGCAGTAGAAGTAAGGGCCACTGGTGAGAGACAGGGGATGTTAGTCCTGATCACGGCAGTAGAAGTAAGGGCCACTGGTGAGAGACAGGGGATGTTAGTCCTGATCACGGCAGTAGAAGTAAGGGCCACTGGTGAGAGACAGGGGATGTTAGTCCTGATCACAGTAGTTGAAGTAAGGGCCGCCGATGAGAGACAGGGGACGTTAGTCCTGATCACGGCAGTAGAGGGAAATGTTGTAGAAGAGGGTGCCACTGATGAGAGACGGGGCGATAGTCCTGATCGCTGCAATAAAAAAGGAATGGGCTGCTGGTGAGAGACAGGGGACGTTAGTCCTGATCACAGCAGTAGAAGTAAGGGCCACTGGTGAGAGACAGGGGACGTTAGTCCTGATCACGGCAGTAGAAGTAAGGGCCACTGGTGAGAGACAGGGGATGTTAGTCCTGATCACGGCAGTAGAAGTAAGGGCCACTGGTGAGAGACAGGGGATGTTAGTCCTGATCACAGCAGTTGAAGTAAGGGCCGCCGATGAGAGACAGGGGACGTTAGTCCTGATCACAGCAGTAGAGGGAAATGTTGTAGAAGAGGGTGCCACTGATGAGAGACGGGGCGATAGTCCTGATCGCTGCAATAAAAAAGGAATGGGCTGCTGGTGAGAGACAGGGGACGTTAGTCCTGATCACAGCAGTAGAAGTAAGGGCCACTGGTGAGAGACAGGGGACGTTAGTCCTGATCACGGCAGTAGAAGTAAGGGCCACTGGTGAGAGACAGGGGATGTTAGTCCTGATCACGGCAGTAGAAGTAAGGGCCACTGGTGAGAGACAGGGGATGTTAGTCCTGATCACAGCAGTTGAAGTAAGGGCCGCCGATGAGAGACAGGGGACGTTAGTCCTGATCACGGCAGTAGAGGGAAATGTTGTAGAAGAGGGTGCCACTGATGAGAGACGGGGCGATAGTCCTGATCGCTGCAATAAAAAAGGAATGGGCTGCTGGTGAGAGACAGGGGACGTTAGTCCTGATCACAGCAGTAGAAGTAAGGGCCACTGGTGAGAGACAGGGGACGTTAGTCCTGATCACAGCAGTAGAAGTAAGGGCCGCCGATGAGAGACAGGGGACGTTAGTCCTGATCACAGCAGTGGTAACAAGGGGTGTAAGCCCTCAAATCCTTAGTTAAAGTATGGGTCAAATGGAATCTAGAGGTTATGTAGGCAACTCTATACAAAAGTTGCTAAAAGTACAAGGGGTTAAAGTTAAGAAGGCTCAATTGGAAGCATTTGTGAAAATATTGGATGAGGTTTGCCCATGGTTGTGTGACGAGGCTGAGATAAATCTAGAGGTCTGGGGAAGAGTAGGTAAACAGCTGCAGAAGGCCTTGACCTCCGATCCTGATAGGTTTCCGGAGAGCTCATTTTCCTATTGGGCACTCTTAAATACAGCTTTGAGAACTCCGTCTCAAAGGGAAACATCTGAGGCTCTCGAGGAGGTTCATGAGGAATTGGAACAAAGTGGTACTTATTTGATAGTTCATTCTAGCTTTGTAGGACTATTTTTATTAAGAAGGTTATCATAGTCAGCGGAAATGAAGGCGTTTATGCTTTTAGGTTGCCTTCTGATAGTTCCCATCGTGGGAGAAGTCTTTTGGGCTTCTGTTCCCTTTTTTCCTCGGCCGCAGGGAGTGAGCCAGGAAGCCCCTCTGTTTCCACAGTTTTTCACTACCAATAATAGCCTAGGTCTTCCCTGGCAACATTATGAAGCCCCTGCTTCCATTGATGCTTCTTTTGATCTTCCTTTAGACACCATTTGCTTTACCTTTAGTAATGACGTGAGCAACACCACCTCTCTACCCTTGACAGAGAATCATTCCGTTCACTCTCGTTCTCATTTTTCTCACCTTTTTGCCAAAAACCTTAATCAGTTGCGATTTAACTGGTATCAGACAACTTGGCATATTTCTGGTCCTCACTTTAATGTGACGTTCTATGGTAATTTTCACCCCCTGCCATCCAGGTTCTCGTCCTTTGGGAGTGGAATGTGGTTATGAAAACCAAGGCCAAAACACACTCTTGCCATGGGAACAATGTTATCCCCAATTTGCCTATTCCTACAATTTCACAAAGAATTTTGGAATTTACGGCTTTCCTGAGCCACAGAAGGGTGAAAATGTTTTTGGTATGAGCCACCTTTGTGGCCCATATGCTTGTACCTCATTTAGACCCTTTTATTTTCTCTTTCCCTCCAATATGAACTAGTATAATTGTTCTACTGGGTATTCTATTGATCTTTCCGGCTCAAAAGGATCTGGGTCCAGTGATGATAATTGTCCTGTAAAATTTAGCCCCATTGTCCCTGAATACCTGAAATCTGTTGCTTTTTCAGCTTCTGGAGTATGTGTTAGATCACCTTTCATATTGTTGTTATGGACTAATAACTCAAGGTTACCCAATTGCTCTCAGGAATACTGTTTTCTCGGTCAGTGTTGGTTTCCTGCTAAGGATAACCTGACATCTATGGCTGTCTTACGAATTCCCGTTCAGATGTGGATTCCTTTGAACACTTCTAATCACTTCTCCACTGTTGTTTGGGCACAGATTTCTTCCCCTTCTCGCAGGAAAAGAGTGGCAGGTCCCATGGTGGCGGGCATCATCGCTGGCATCATAGCCTTGGTGTCTGCCATCACCTTCGCAGTGGCGTTAACAGGGACTTTACAGAATGCAGCCACCATCAATGATCTTCAAGACACTACAACCATGGCTTTACGAACCCAACAGCACATCAACCCTCACATTGGAACTGGTTTGGCTATACTTCAGCAACAAGTGGACTTATTAAACGAAGAAGTTGAGGGATTGTGGTTGCATACTCGATTGGACTGTGATTCCAGATTTCAACAGCTCTACTCCCTTTCCTGTCAAAACCATTCTGAGAAAGTCCGACGACTTTCGTCATTGCTGCGAGGGTCTTGGAATCGGACATTTCTAAATGCAACTAATCAGTTGTCATTGGACATTGAGATCTTGTCTGGTGTTCATGCTAATTCTATCCGGCTTGATTTAGATTTTGCCACAGAAGTTTGGGAAAATTTGAAAAAGATGTTTTCACCTTCTTGGATTGTTATATGGCTTATTGTTATTGCTGTTATGATTGGTTTGTGTATTTTGGGTTACTGCTCATATCGATGCTGGAAGCATTCCCAGTTTAAATATGAGCGTTTAGCTATGACTGTACAGGCTTCTTTGGATGATGATACAACACGCGTAGCCATTTACTTGGCTCAGGCTCGGTGTGCTTAGATCCCCCGCCTTGGGATACTCAGTGACAGGTAAGGACAGAAGCTTCTGTCTACCAACCTAAGACAGGTCGTATTGGGATATAAGCCCTGCGACTGATGATGGGTAAGGAGATAGAAGACTTCTGCCGCCTAAGACAGAGGTTCCTTGGCTGATGCATGATGAATGACTAGCATTCTTCATGCTATCAGAGAGATGGGGGAATTATGGTGAGCCATCATGGTGAGCCTTGACATAGGCCTAGCCATGATTGAACTTTGAGTCACCTCACCAGCACGGACCTGCTGTCGCCCATACCAATGGGCAAGTTCAGCTGGTAGCAGATGTAACCCATAATGGTTGTTATTGTTTCCCTCTGGAATGTGTGGACGGTGCCCTCGCTCCCATGCAGCTCTCGCTCCCATGCAGCTGAAGAGTATAAATGTTTACACTTTTGGTTTCGGTTTTAGCCTATATATACCCCACCCTGAAAAATAAACAGGTCCTTGCTACGAAGAGAGCATGAGCCTGGAACTAAGTTCGTGAAACTGCTCTCCTGTTGTTCTTCCCTTGGGTTTGGGACCTGCTGGCAGGATTCTGACGTTGTGGCTTGCAACACACATCAACCAAGAATGAGAAAGTTTACGATAATATAATGAATGACACTAGTAGTTAATCTTCATTAACAGCGTAGCATGTGTCATGTATGTGACACCTGCTCTCATGGACTGATTTACATGTTGTGGTTTTACAAGGTTATGGTTTTTGTGTAGACCATCATCATTCTGCCTACACTTTGAGCATCAGCCTACATTTCCATCATCATCATATATTTTTTCTAAGTACATTTATATTTTTTGTAGCTGTCCTGGAATGTGGAGGGTGCTCTAGTATTTTGTGATCATCTGAGAATCTCTTCCTGGCCTTTTTTTTTGTTCAAACTTCTTTTTACCCTTTCCTGGGACGTCTCTCACACCTTGACCTCTGGAGACTTTCCTCTTCTCTTCAGCACCTTTTGGTGGGATGAATCATGTCCTCCCTTGGCTCCCTGGTAGCTCCTCTGAAGCTGTTTGGAGACTTTCCCACCTGCCAAAGGTTGGGTAGAGATTGTTTCTGAGTGTTGGGTTGCCTCTGTGGTTCAGACAGTATCTGATTCCCTTTGTATTCCCATAGTGCCTAACACAGGAAAAGCTAAAAGGAAAATGGGTTGTTGAATTTAATTCAACTTCCAATTCAGTACGATTACAAAATAAGTGTGGAATGAAGATTTAAGGCTATTTAACTGGGAGAGAAATTACCAAGGAGGGGTCAATACTGAAGGTCTTCCTCCTCCTCCTCCTCCTCCTCCTCCTCTTCTGTTGGAACTGGAGATGGAACTCAGGACCTTGAACTCAGGAGATTTTGCACTAGTTTGAGAAATAACTTTCTTATAATAAACACTTAGCAACAGAACCTGTTACTTGTGAACAATCATGAATTCCTGTATTAGTCAGAGTTCTCTAACAGAAAGAAATCAATAAACACAGAAACAAAAATAGAAATACATATATAATACAATTATGAAAGATAATTCATTACATAGGGTTATAGGATCAGAGTTGGAAATAGCTATCTGCATGCTGGGGAACAAGAGGACCAAGTAACTGCTCAATCTAAGAAACTGGGAGCCTCAGACCAAGAGGAGCAAGAATGCAGCCCTAGCCCAAGACCAAAGGCCAGGAAGTTCCTGGGGAGTTGCTGGTGTGAGTCCACAGTGAAAGGCTGAATTAGCTGGAGTGTGAGGTCCATTCAAGCATAATAGAGCTTTTGAAATGTAGGCCAGCTTCTTCCAGGCTGCAATCCTAATGGATGGTGGGTCCACAATTAGGGCAGGCCTTCCTCCCTCAGTTTGCCAGCCTGCCTGCCAATCATCTCTGGAACATCCCACAGACACCCCCAGAGGGTGTTTTACTAATCTTCCAGGTGTCCCAATCTGGTCAAGTTGACAGTCACAATTAATGGTCACAATTCCCCATCATGACCTGTCACACTGCACCATGAAAAGATGTGAGAGAAGGACTTTTCTCCCTTCACAGGGACATTGATTCAGAACTCCTCATAAGGACAACCAGACTTTGAAGATTCTGGGTGTATAGTTTTTGAAAAGTTAAAAGCATGACAGAATGAAGTGTCAAGGATTTTATTCAACTTTCTGATGAAGAAACAGTAAGGAGGTAAAACCAGAGGAATGAGAATTACTGATACCAGAAAAGACACACATGTTTGCTGCGTTTGAAACAAAACTGAATAATGTCCTACAGGGCAATACAATCACAACCTTTGGGGTTTTCTTTATGTACTAGACAGAAATTATCTGCATCTCTACTGGACAAGTCTACAAATTAATATGTAACTCCACAGAGACTGGGCACTTATCTACAATAGTAAGCAGAAAAAACTGGAGTTTTCTAAAAATAAAAACCTCCTAACACTTGGGTGAGCCTGTTAAACAATGTCCTAGTGTTAATAGCTGCAGTGTCAGGTCACCATGAACTAGGTACTTCACAGCATAGACATTTATTTTCTTGAGAGGCTAAAAATCCAAAATCAAGGTTTCAGCAAGATCAGATCCTCCTGGAAGTTTACAGGGAAAACAAATTCCCTGGCTCCTTAGCTTTTGGTAGTCCCTGACCCTCGTGGGTGTCACTGTAATCTCTGCTTCTGTTATCACACAGAGTTTTTCCCCAAACCTCTTTGTGTCTTTCCTTCCATAAAGACCTCAGTCATTGGACTTAGGGCCCATATCATTCCAATCTTGCCTCGTCTAATTATTCTGTAAGGGTGTTAGGGAGGAACAGGCAGCGTAGAGTGTGACCTGGATGGCTAGCATGATAGAGATGACTGCACGCTTACTCATGACATGATGTACTGGTGTGTGTGTGGGGGGTCTGTCTTTTGTGGGACCTTTGCATACTTTTGCCGTGTGCCCAGAGATCCTGTGAACCTTGGCTCATCTCAGAAACAAAGGCTAAGGCCCTGATTGTACTAATCCGTGAAACAGTTAGTTTTAGAAAATCTGCTTACCCTATAAATATGGGCAAGGCAAAGACATCAGGCTGAGAAGCTCATTTTCTGAGCACCTCCCTGTCACCTCCCTTCTGACGACCTCCCTGTCAGTTCCTGCTTCTGCCATCTTATTAACAAACCTCCGTTTCCTATTACTTTCCTTTTCTGAGTTCCTCCTCCTGTGCCCAGGAAGATCTGATTTCTTCCCACTCTCTCTGGCTTTGAGTCAGCTCCACCCTTTCCATTCTTCCCCAGGGTGTAGAGCAAGAACCTGAGAAATGGGGGTTTTGCCATGGGAGACTGCTAGGCCCCCCAGACCCCTGCTGTGAGGTAACATTTTGTGCATTGGCCAGAAGGTTAAAGAAAAGACCAGAAAAGATCCCAGACACGGTCACTATAGCCAGCCTAAGTGAGAGGGAACGCGGGAGGACACTCCTCCTGCTGGGTCCCATTCTGGGTGAGAAGGAACGCCGGCTCCAGGAGGACAGCGTGGTCTCTGACTATCAAGGAGACTTGAACTTTACATTCATGTGGCTTAGTGGTGGATCCGCTGAAGTGCCCGACACCTGTGCTAAGAGGGTATCTTTCCGGCCTGCTTAGAGTCAGTTCCCATGGTTACTGGGGTCCTGACGCATCTCCAGACATTCCTTTTGCCTAGAAACCTTGAGCTATGACCTCTTTCTAGACTATTGCTGCTCTGTATCTCACAAAAGAAAGACAAATTGCAGATAATTTCTGAAGCAGGCTGCCTGACTCGAGGTTGTCAATTTTAACCACATAGGCTACCAACAGAAAACATAAAGCCCTGGCAAGATGGACGGGTTTCTGTTCTTCTTGGGTTATTATGTTAATTAGAAAAAATATTTAAATGGCTCTAGTAAGAGCCACTTTTCTCTCCCTTCTCTTATCAACCTACTGTAGATACTATGTGTGTTAATTACCTTTCTTTCCTTACTGAGACCAAAATACCAAACACCCAAATTTAGAAGAGAAGGGTCTTATATGGCTTACAGTTCTAGAGGTTTCAGTCCATAGTCAGCTGGCTCCAAGGCAGGGATGACAAACAGGCCTTGCAGAGGGGAAACAGCATAGTATACACAAGGCAGCAAAGGCAGCAAGAAGGTTAAACAGCTTCTTTCTGCCCCTTTATCTTATTCAGACTACTGGGATGGACGTGGTGTCAAACCAGTCACTCGCATGTAGTGGTTTAGTAATCAAACACCCTTACCCCAACATCACCAGATTCAGCTCCCTTTGAAATAGAAAGTCCCACCTCATCTGCATGAGGCTTTGGGGGGACATCTAAGCACAGACCATAACATTACACCCCCGGCCCCCAAAGACTCGTGCCTATATCACTTTATGTGAAAAAGCATTTAGTCTCAGCATTTAGAGTTGCCAACGTCTCAATAGTTTTAGCATGGCTAAAAAGTCCAAGTACCAAGTCTCCTCTGAGATTTAAGGCAAACTATTAGCTGTGAACCTCTGTACAAATGAAAAGAAAGCTAAACACTTCCAACATTCAGTGGCACAAGATAAACATTATCATTCCAAAAGGTACAAATAGGGGGATACGAAGCAATGGGATCGAGGCATGTCCAAAATCCAGCAAGCAAACATTAAATCCCACAGTTCCACTTCCAGCATCGAGGCAATCTGTGGCACGTTGTGAACTACAAAGGGCTTGGGTGGCTCTGCCCCTAAGGCACTTGTGGTTGTAGAC